ATACAGTAAAAATGTGAAATATTATTACAATTTAAAAAAGTTTTCTATTTTAATATATCTTAAAATGTAGTTTATTTCTGTGATGGCAAAGCTGATTTTTTAGCATCATTACTCCAGTCTTCAGTGTCACATGATCCTTCAGAAATCATTGTAATATGCTGATTTGGTGCTCAAGAAACATTTCTGATTATTATCAATGTTGAAAACAGTTGTGCTGCTTAATATTTTTATGGAATCTGTGATACATTTTTTAAAGATTCTTTGATTTACAGAAAGTTCAAAAGAACAGCATTTATTTGAAATATAATTTTTTGTAACATTATTAAAAATGTGTTTACTGTCACTTTTGATAATTTTGCATCATTTCTGAATAATACTAAAAAAACTGTACTGACACATCATTTTTGAATGGTATAGTAAATAGACCAGTGGTCAATAATGTTTCAACATCTAAAACTTCACATATAAATAATGAATTTAAAACATTAGTATATTTTCAGTGCTGAGGAGTCTAGTTTGTATGGACTTAAATTACATATTTTAATCTTACCTTCAGTCGATCAACCTCTGCCTTGGAGCATGTGGCATGATAAGACAGCATCTGGAAAAGACAGAAACAACAATACACTGTGCACACTATGTAACCATACCACGTGTGCACAATATATTCTCTCTACTGGTCTGACAGATTTATATGCAGGCAAAAAATGTAGCTATTATGTTAATGAGCAGTTTAAAACATCAAAAGAAATACCAATAAGAGATACTCACATCTAGAGCCACAGACTGCTTGGCCCAAGTCTTTTTAACCTGGTTATACATCATTGTGTTGTTAATGCCCAGACCACAGAAAATAACAAATGCCTGTAAGGAACAACGGAAATGAAAATTACTCATGCGTATGATTTATGACAGCATCAGTAATGTAAGTAAGTATGTAAGGCTCTAATTCACTTATAAAATATTGATTGGCCATTTTATTCCAACATCAAATATTTGAATTAAGTCACACCTCAAATAACCTTTGATCTGCATCATTAAATGTCTTCCTGTCCAAGCGATTCAGAATCTGGGCAACACCTAATGAAAGTAAGACATTATTTTAGTTGTTGTTTTTGTGGGTTTGTATATAAGCAGTTGTGTGGGGAAACTCACCAATAATCTGATGTGTCCGATTCCAGATGGGGACACATAAAACTGATCTGATATGAAATCCAGAAGCCTGGTCCGCCTGAGTAGGAAACACAATGCTTGCATGATACATGTGTGTGTGTGTGTGTGTGTGTGTGTTTGAGTAGACTTGGGTTCATATACATGCTTAAAGGTGCTAGCACTCTTGTGAAAAAGAAGTACACTTAATTGTATTGAATGTGTACTTTTAGTGTTTTTTTTTCCCTCTCTATTTCTCCATTTTTTTCTCTATTTTTTTGTTAGCTCTATTTAAAAAAAAAACTGTACTTGCAAATGAAATTATTTTGATTTTTTTTTAAATGCCACTGAAGTGTTCTTAAAGAAAGTACACTTTTATTCCTAACTTATTCCTTAACACATAAAAGTGCACTTTGTAATCATGCCAAATTACAGGCTTTACTTTAAAATACATTTCACATCATTGTTTTAATAATCTTTTGTCATTCTTTAAAGTACATTTATTTTGATGCACTGACTAACATACTTATGCACATGTAAACTACTTGATATATTTAAATAGACGAAATATTTAAAAAGTTTCAATAGACATGCATTTACGTTTTACTTTACCATAAATGCTTGCCAGTACATTTGACAGTACACTAATCAATACGACAATTAAAGTTATTCAAAGTATTTCAAAGTAATTATAAAATTACACATTAATATGTACTTGAGTCCTACCGAAGTGGGTAAAAAAGCACTCTTAAGTTCAACTAATTGTATTTAATATTAATTGTATACTATAATACCTGTTCATTTAATTGTAATGCAAAACATTACAGTCAGCCTACACTTAAGTATATAATTTTAAAGCATATTTTTCCATAATAAGTACTTTTTTTTAAAGTATGCTTAAGTGCATACTACCTAGATGACTGCTGCTAGTATGCTAGTTTAGACTCAACTGGCAGCATGAGAGAGATGTGGGCTTGGAATCATACTTTGGTTTGGGCCAAGTGATCAACAAGAAACTGGTCTGTGAGGGTGTGTTCTGCTCACCTCAGCATCAAAGCGGGGATCCTGACAAACGTCACTGATGTTTACAGGCAGCCCGGTTGATGCTACCAACTCAGCAATGCTGTTATTGATCAGCCAGTCCGAGCAAGACACCTTCTCCATGCTGACTTTGTCAAATGCACACACATACACACAAACACACATACTGAGCATGGTATACATTAGCTGGCATCCTGCTTACGTTACATATGCGAAAAAATACAATTTAGCAGTTTGTCAAATTAATAGTCCTGTCTCACCTGATGTCATGATCAACGCTGCACAGTGGAGACATGAGCTCAAACGTCTGGGAGAACTTTACTACCTATGAATACAGTGAGAGAACAATTAGGTTTTGATATTTTCTGAAGAAAATTTTAGCAGCGTTTGCTGTAAAACACTTGCTGTAAAGCAATGCTAGGGTCATTTCAAGGTGTTCACGGTGCCCTCTACTGGATGAACGGTATACATAGTCAGTGACAGCTATGCACAAAATACAAGTTACCTGCAAAGAAAAAGCACAGACTGTTTTTTTATAAAGTCTAGCTATATAGAGCACTACAGTGATGACGTATTTTGTAGGCCAACCCAGAAATTAACATCACCCAGATTCCCTTGACAAAAAGTCCAATAGGATTTGATTTTTTCATTGGCTTTTGAATTGTTGAGGAATAAGCTATTTGACCAACAAAAGTTTAAAATTCTTACATGTTAAGTACATCATGATAACTGCTATGAATTTTGAAGCCTGAATAAAATCACCAGAAGTAAAAACTACAGTCGCATGACTTTAAAATGACAATCACTAAGCTTCTAACAACTCTTTCAGTCTTCATATTAAAAAATAAAAAATTTAACGTTTGAGTTAGAATAGTTTGCAGGAGCGTGATTATAAATACAACGAGGCTGTAAAAGTGGACTTAGATGCGTAGATGTGTCTTCCTGTTCAGCGTGATGACGTTTAATGTCCTCAACAACCTCTTTATTCCCATTTAGCTACTTGTTAGAAACCAACTTTTTAAAAAGCTTTAAAAAACCACAAAGTGGTATTACTGATGTATTTTATGTCATACATTAAATCATCAAAATATCTTAAAGGGATATTTCGCCCAAAAATGCAGATTCTGTCATTAATTACTCATCCTCATGTCGTTTCAAACCTGTAAGACCTTCATTCATCTTCGGAACACAAATTAAGATATTTTTGATGAAATCCAACCTGACCCTGCATAGACAGCAATGCAACTACCACATTCAAGGCCAAGAAAGGTAGTAAGGACATCGTTAAAATAGTCCATGTAACATCAGTGGTTCAACCGCAATGTTATAAAGCTACGAGAATACTTTTTTGCGCAAAGAAAACAAAAATAACGACTTTATTCAACAATTTCTTTTCTTCTAGGTCAGTCTTCAACGCGCGTTCACGAGAGTACCATGACGCATGCGTGTGCATTTCTGCTTGTAAACAGGTTTGGAATGACATGAGGGTGAGTAATTAAAGGGGTCATATGATGCGATTTGAATTTTTCCTTTCTCTAGAATTTTCATTTTTGGCTGAACTATCCCTGTAAACCTTTGCTAACCAAACCAACAGAGCCGATCCTCCCTATACGCAAAATACGCAAGCTGCGTAGGGCCCCCGAAACACCAAGGGGCCCCCTTGCTCTCAAAGATTATTTAATTTTAGTTTCGTTTTTGAATTCGGCCAGTGGTTATGAAAACATGAATGATAATTTCTTTTAATGAGGTGCGCTGTCACCCTTTCTACGTAAAAATCAGTCAAATCATGTAATGTAAATGTCGTACAGTCTTGCTCGAGACTAAAAACGAGTTGAAAGCGTACCGAGCCATGGAAAGCGCTTCTCAAGCGCTTTCCACGAGCGCGATTCGAGACGGAGTGAAACACGGACAAATGCGTTTCATTCATTTGTTCATAACCACTCATACACTCCCCCTCCCCCCTACATCTAGGATCGGTCTAGGATCGGCACTGCAAACCAAAAATCAATTCAAAAGCCTACTGACCCGGAACCAGAAATGCTAAAATGCTAACCTATTACTGTGTTTAAATAAAGACTAATGTAAAAGCCAAAGAGAGGATGCCCAGCTGAATTAGTTAAAGGGTTACCTTTATAATATTATAGATAATTTTGATGGAATCTGAGAGCTCTCTGACCCTCCATAGACAGCAAGGATATTACCACGATCAACGCACAGAAACGTAGCAATGATATCTCTAAAATAGTCCTTGGTGACATAAGGGGTTCAACCGCAATTTTACAAGCTACGAGAAAACTTTTTGTGCGCAAAGAAAACAATAATAATATAACTTATTCAACAATTCTTCTCCCCGAGTTACCGTCTTCTGCCATTTTGGAGAGTACCCCAGAACGTAATCAACGTAATCAGTGTTGTTTACATTCAGTAGACAGCGCGCACATGCTGAACGTAAACAACGCTGATTACGTTGATTACGTTCTGGTAATATCCTTGCTGTCTATGGAGGGTCAGAGAGCTCTCAGATTCCATCAAAAATATCTTAATTTGTGTTCCGAAGATGAACGGAGGTCTTACGGGTTTGGAACGACATGAGGGTGAGTAATTAATGACAGAATTTTCATTTTTGGATGAACTGTCCCTTTAAGAATGGTGGAAGGTGGAAAGGATGGAGAAAGCTAAGAAAACACACAAAATAAGGATGGACCAAAATTGTGCCAGAAAAGAGAAAAGGGGGACTAAAAAGGCGATCTCACAGGAGAGTGGATGTCTTCTAGCAGAAGCACAGAGCAGCGCTCACACTGCAGCAATGTCAGCGCACGCTGCATGATCTTTCTGACGATCTTCTCCAGGTCCGTCTGCTCCTCAAACAGATCATTCACCACCTCCAGCAGGGCCTTGAGGAACATCAGCAACAGCTCGAAATGTATTCAGATAACACAGGCCTTCAAGCAGATTATTAAATATTTTAAACCTTGAAACCTGAGGATTGTAAACAAGCTTACAAAATCAAGCAGCACACTGTCTGAGACGCCTAGAAGTCTAGAGGCAGATTTTAAAATCAGTCTGAAAAACTGGATTTTATTCAGCAACATTTCTGCAGGTCTTGACTCACCCTGCTCCTCTCATACTCCTTGCGGGATTTGGAGAAGAGTTTGGCGTTGGAGATCGATATTCCACAGAATGGTAGATACATTTGAAGCACCTGTAGAGAGAAGTGTGATGCTTTCAAAGCTTTAGTCTGATTGATGCATGACGGTGAGATATTGAGAGGGGAAAAAAAACAACTGCAGAAGGACTGGAGGCATCACATCAGTTCATCAGTTTATTTCTAGGGCATTTATAACAGCACAGCCTGTGTATCTGCTTTCAGTGCTGCTTGGCATAAATAATTCTAAAGAGAAATGCTGTGCTATTAATTAGTATCTATAGAGAGCTGTTTTGAAGCAGCAATGAAAGTGAAGGGCTGAGATGTGCGGGTACAGACTGACTTGTGCCCAGAGACTGCAGTACTGGATCTGCTGCACTGAAATGTAAGATTCTGAGGTATGGCATTCACATGTGCTGATTTAGACAATGACAAAGATGACCTCTGTTCTGAGACCAATTTAGAACAGGCGAATTCCAAATGGTGGTTTTGCACCCTTGACAGGCATGGGACGTCATTTTTAGGGGCATTCCAAAAGAAAGTGAATAACTAAATTCCCTTCATTAAGGACCCTTTCACGAATGGTATAATAAGTTCACTTCAAGGAATTTTATCATTTATGGTCATGTGATGACCTCCAATTGTTACCTTAAAGGGCTATTTCTACCTGATTTCACCCATAAAATGTAGCTTTGTTAGTATAAATTACTGTATTTAGGTTGATTCATCAATATTAAATAATATTCCAGACTTAAAATCAGTTAAAGGGGTCCTATTATGCTTTTTCACTTTTTAAATTTTAGTCAGTGTGTAGTGTGTATGTTTGGGCATAAAAAAGATCTAGAAAGTTACAAATCTCAAAGTCCACTTCAAAGGGAGATATTTCGTTTTTTAAAAATCCCTTTTCAAGTACTACAACGAACGGCTCGTTTGGACTACAGCATT